AAACTAACGTCAAATAACAATAGAAATGTATGTACAAAACACATTCACATAAGCACAAGCACAATTAACACTTACTATATCAATTATTTTTTGCATCCTTCCAATTCCAATTCACTTTTTTTACTTTTTAGATTATTGNACAATAGAAATGTATGTACAAAACACATTCACATAAGCACAAGCACAATTAACACTTACTATATCAATTATTTTTTGCATCCTTCCAATTCCAATTCACTTTTTTTACTTTTTAGATTATTGTCACATTTTGCGTATTCTTTAATTTCCGTTAATTTAAATTCAGTTGAGTTTGCCACTTTTAAATATTTTGCCAGCAAAAATTCTTCTGACTAAATCTGACTACTTCGGACTGAAGAGAGTCACTCTGATGGAGTGTTGCTCTATCATTTTTGCTGTAATTTTCGAGTTAAGGAACGCTTTTTGGATTAAATGTGACTACTTCGGACTTTTTCTGACTATTTCTGGGAGATAAGGAACGCAGCTAAAATTCAAAACAAGAAAATCAAATTGTTCACATTTGTTGTTGTTTGAGATTGAAAATGAGAATGTGTGTGTGAGTTCCAATTTTTAAATTATATTGCTGGCAAACGTCAGACTGCCTCTCAATTACCAAAATGTATTTAACAAAGTGTGATTGAATTTGACATTGCTCTCAGAAGAACCATCCTATAAAGTCAAATTGAATTTTTTTTTATTAATTTCTAACCGTATGTTTATATTTTTTGGCATAATAGTACCTTAAAAGAGAGCCTACCTGAGTTGTAAATCACAACTTGTTTAATACCCAGCGGCGCATATGCACATTACGTAATCGAATACTCCTTCAAAACTTCGAAGGCGGTATATCGGTATGAATGGATTACAACCCAGATTACTTTGCCATAAGTATGGCCGCTTTGTGGTTAGCGTCCTTTACATATTGGTTTTGTTTGTAATCGGAAAGTATGATGTGACCGAATACTGTTCGGGCCTTCATTACAATACGTATTCGTTTGTAAATTGTAAAGTAGGTACATTGTAAGCAGACTGTCTACAAAATGCATTGCAATTTTAAATTGGGTCAGCGGTGTTTTAATCATTTATTTGTATGAATTACGCAATGCATGTTGTGGGCGGACCCCATTTAGCAGTGCACCGCTGGGTACACCTTGTCAATTACTACGTTAGTGCGGCAGAATTCATCTTCATCTCATGAATTCAAAAATGGTTCTGTTATAAATTAACAAATTATTGAAATGAAGCGTTTTGAAAAGTGACAGCGCACTAGCGAAATACCAAAACAGTAGGGTTTAGGTATTTTTGCCTTTGTTTTGAATGTGCAAAAGCCGTTGGTACCAGGAAATGATCCATTTTACATTTAAACTAGTTAAAATGTATTTGAATTTCTTCCTATTTGAATTTATTTTTTATATGAACAAATCCACGTAACTTTTTTAGTGTTTAAATCATGGCTATGCCACTACATCTTTTTAAGTTTAAAAACGTAATAACCCTAGTAAAAAGCTGTTTTTGAAACGCGGCGTTGAAGGCACTTCCCGAGTTCATGAAATGATTCCCTATTTCAGAATGTGATTGAAAAACGTACTATCTCAACAAGCTTTTGAAGAAAACTCTATTTCAGCATTCGGTTTGAATACGCCCTATCTCTGCTGCCGATTCAAAAACGCCCTATCTCAGCATATTTCTGAGATAGGGGCTCCTTGAACATTTACCTGAGATAGAGCAATTTCCAATCAAATTGTGAAATCGGGCGTTCTTGAAAAGTTTCCTGACAAAGGGTATTTCTGAACTGGCTTCCGAGCTAGGTCGATCTTCCACTCAGCAGTCGGTATGTAATGTTCATGGCCCGTAGTCATAGTCAAAATAAAGTCGACTTTAAAGTTAGTTGCAGCTTTTTTGACAGATGTCCCATTGAAAATTATGGCCCGTAGTCATAGTCAAAATAAAGTCGACTTTAAAGTTAGTTGCAGCTTTTTGACATAATTTTGTTTACATCTCTTTCTTCATATGTACATATTTTGGCGGTGGTTTATTTCAAAATTGAAAGTGAATTGTAATTGACAGTAATTGTACATTTTTTATTCAAATATAATTAATCCCAATAATTTGCTTTACATCATTACACAAATATGCACTCAAAAGTTACTTTATTTTTCTCTTTATGCCTCGACCTTATATTCTACGTTTACTTTTGATTCCCTTTCAAAACATTGGCTTCAATTCGCTCGCAGGTATGGGTTGTCAAAAATCACAACTGAAAAATTATAAAAAGCGCACAACTTTCTATACGCAAAAAGTCACTTCTCAAAGCTATTATCAGCTGCTGAAATTGAACGAAATGTGGGTTTTGGTAAAAATTTAGTAGGCAATTTTAAGAAATGTTTAACCATGTCAACCTGTAGTTAGTGTCGATTTCAAATAGAGTATTAGAGTGATTAAAAAGGCATCTTAAAAAGCAAAATTATGAAATGGCAACAATGTAATATGACATGCTTCGAAACGTCAAAATCTAGAAAAGAAAAACAAATAAAACAGATGGAATTATACTCGAAGAGGAGAAAAGAAACTACAATAAAAAAGGTGTAGGGTATCGAAATCTTATTTGTTGACAAAGCAAATTTAATTAATTTAAAACGAAATTGTGCAAACGTAATAGAGAAGGCAACAGATTCCAGATAACTTGTACGTAGCTCTGCTTCGTTCGTATTTCAAGGCGTAAAAATGCCTGTGAATAACACCAGTTCAAATTTCAAGACTTTTAAAGTTGTGCTACTTGGTGAAGGTTGTGTTGGTAAAACATCAATAGTTCTACGTTACGTCGAGGATAAGTTCAATCCTCAACATATAAGCACACTGCAGGCATCATTTCTCACAAAAAAACTCCATTTAGAGGATGGCTGCCGAGCACATCTCAACATTTGGGATACTGCTGGTCAAGAACGTTTTCATGCGCTTGGACCTATTTACTACCGTGGATCACATGGTGCCATACTCGTCTACGACATTACCGATGAAGACTCCTTTCAGAAGGTGAAAAATTGGGTAAAAGAGCTCAAACGTATGCTGGGTGCTGAAATCGTCATAACAATCGTGGGCAACAAAACTGACTTGGAGGCACAGCGCAATGTACCACAAGATGTTGCATTGGATTATACAGAAAGTGTGGGCGCACACTATTTCGAGACATCGGCCAAAGCCAATGAGGGCATCGAAGAGTTATTCACAGCGTTGACACAACTAATGATACAGCGCCATGCCCAACGCGAACAAGAGACTAGTTCATTACGACTAATGCAGGGAGGACGTACGTCACAACGTTTGGTAGTTGAGGATGATTCACAGGACGGTGATGAAGAAGGGGGACAACCACCTGCGGCGAATCGATCATGCTGTGGGGCCGGTTAAAATAGTGTGAGATGTAATTGCATTAAAAACACCCAACCCAAACAAAGGAACGGCAATTTGTAGAAGAGGATAGTAGTAGTATGTAGAAAAATTTGGCGAATGGGTGTTTAAAAGCAAATATTGAACATAGTGAACTGAACACGACGATATAGACAACGTCAACGCCGATGCGCCGCCGCTAGATTAAATTGTGATAAACTTATTATAACGTGTAAATTTAAATATTTTTTGTATAAAACGCTTTAATATTGTATTCTTCTCTTATGATATAATTCCATTCTACTTCCTTCGAACAAAAAAAAAAAACTACATAAATCTAGCGAACTTACTATCTATCTACTCATATTACATTTCAGTTTTTTGTTAGTTTTAAAGCCCTATTATTTGTTGTTATATTATAATACAATTAAAGTTTTCTGCTTTGAATTGCAGCAAAAAAATTTTGAAAGACTTAAAAGCACTTGACACTTTTATTGAATGATTCATGCAAAAGTATCCATGCGCTTATCTCAATCCTTATCACGTGTGAATATACATACATACATATGAGCCGTTTATTTTGAAAGTGGCATAAGTTACTTTTCGTACCTCTTGTGATTAAATGACCAGTTACTTGTATCTGAACGCGTCGGTTATTAGTTCAACTTCATCAACCCAAGGTAGACGGTTTTATAGTTAGTTTATTATGATGGAGCGATTTACAGATGCATTCGGTAACAAGTAGCCGGTAATCTAAGAGCAAGAGGTTTAAAGTGACTTATGCCACTTTCAAAATAAACGGCTTACATATACATACTTGCGAATTTTGAGGGCTTGAAAAATGTCAGTAATCTGAATGTCTACATGCCGTATTGATTGCAATGACATATTCACGGCGAAAAGTTTGCTGAGAAAGTTTTACCGACTTAAATGTTTAATAGCTCAAGTAATAATTTAGTAAAATTACAGACTTGCAACTTTTTTATTGTTGTACATAATATTCGTAACATACATAGGTAAAATTTTCCTCACAAGTTTTTGAAGTATGCTTCTGAAATGAATGTCCTTAAAATGGTAAACGAATCGATGTGGAAAGAATTTTTATGTAATAGGTCGCTTACCGCAAAAGTGCAAATACCAGACGGGTTTTTGGAATACTGCTGAAGTAGCCGTCAGTTATAAATCTGGGCTTTTGTGGTTGTGTAACATCAGAGTTTTTGGGGATCGCCGTTGGAGTAAAAGTGCCAGACCAGCCATAAATCAAGTCGTTCCTGTTAGGTGGACCCTACTGTGGTGGGATTTAAGGGCTGTTATTGGTGTAATAGCACAAAATATTCCCAAAGGTTCCTCATCATCATCATGATGGTTATGTCGACCTGACTGTTGTGGAATTTTAGGGTTGTTATTTTGTAATGGTTCTGGGCATAGGTTTCGCCGTGAAACTCTTTTATCACACTCTTCATTTGTATAAATAGGTCCGATCACGAAACCCAACAACATCTCTTGGCCATCAGTCATTTGCTTAACCGCTGAACTTGTGCCCGAATCGCGGCATTCGAAATGGAACCTAAGTCGTATCGAAATTTGATTTTGAGATCGCGGCATTCGATAGCGAGCGCGCTTCGTCAATTTAAATTGTTTTGGTTAACAACGGGGCTTGATACTTTATGATAACGATTACATTACAGTAACGATGGCTGAATTGTAATCCTTAAATTATATACAATTACGATTAAAATTTAGTTAAAGTCAAAGTAATAATGTAAATCCAAATCAAACTTTATGGAAAGTACTGCGACTACGAGTCCAAACAAATACGCGAATTCACAACTAAGAATCATTTTGGTGTATAAAAATTAATATCAGCTCTAAGCAGAACTGATTTCTCGATTACTTTAATCGTAATCATGAAATGCATGATTGCAAATACTGTAATTATAATCCTAAAAACTTAATGATTACGACTTCTGTAATCGAATCCTAATTTTAACGATTACATACCATTTTTAGGATTACGATTATTGTAATTGCATTCACAGAAAGTACGAGTACGATTACAGTATTCGTAATTGTTAAATTTTAAAGATTACATTAAAGTAGTTGCAATCAAGCATGCTATAATTACAATTACAATAATCGTAATCCTAAGTAATCAAAATGTAGTCGTAATCATAAAGTGCCCAGCTCTGGTTAGAAAACAGCCATTTTATTCGATTCAATTAGAAGCGAGTAATGATTCGATCACGAGTGTCGCGATTCGGGTCCTGTTTATATTCTTTCCTTCAGATATGAGTGCATAATTGTTAGCATGACTCNCCATCTCTGGTCTGGGGTATCGTGGACGCGCTCGTCGCTTCTGCGCTACCTTGTCTCCAGATTGGGGCTGCCGGCAAACAGTGACCAAGAACTGCCACCTCCTAATCCAGGGTGTTACGCGACACCGTGCCTATTGGACGGTTTGCAGCCAGGAGGAAAAACCGGCTGTATTATAACGGCGCCTCTTCGACACCGGGCCGCATCGAGGAGTAACGGTGGCCTTACCGCGACATGGGGCGCTGGCGCGGCGGACCAGATAAGATCCCCTACTACAACTTTGACTGCTGAGCTTGCCTAGCCGAGCTGGCAGTCGTACGAACAAGATGAATACAACTAAAAACCAAAAAAACATAAAAACAACAAAAACAACAAAACAAACAACAAAAACAGCTACAGCTACAGCTACAACTACAGCCACAACAGCTGCAACAG